CAATGGCTGGGTCCAACGTCCCTTCACCACTGCCAGATAGAGATCACTCGCGGTTCATAATTTTTCCGCCGCTGACGCCTAGTGCTTCTCTGCCGGCGTCGACTAGTTCTGATTTGGGGGACTCAAACGGCAAACTCATCGCCATCATGTGATCCCTTCTATCCTACTTGTCGTTATCCTCGGAGTGGTAAGATGTCTCTAGATGATATGTTATCAAAAGATGGGCCTCGTCGGTCGTCCTCCTTCCTCGCTGTCATAGTCCCATCTGACAAATATTCAATCAAACAAGCTAAAACGTAAAGAACACTCAAGATTTTTAATGTGGTATCTTCAGTATGACCCTAGTCAACGGAGGGGATCTCCCTCTCATATTTTGGTATTATAGTTTTCGTTATCCTTCAACGTAGTATACAACAGGATATATATAGGTTTGATAACACAAACCCTAACTACATAATTACATAATGGTACATATATTAAATATAATCAACACCCTCCCTCAAATTGATGTTGGGTACGCAACATCAATTTGGAAGATAGATACCAATGTCTATTAGAGGAAACAACCTTTGTTAACATTTCAACAGTTTGTTCCTCTGTCTTCAAATAACTAGGCTGTATCACCCCTTCGGCAACTAATTGCCTGATGTAATGAACGTGATTATTTGCTATTTGAATAGCACTGATGTTATCCCCATATATACGCATCGGTTGTTCACACTCCACGCCTAACTCTTGAAATAGCCGTTACAGCCACACCATTTCTGAGCTCACTTCAGACATTGATCTATACTCTACTTCTGTAGAGGATTTAGACACTTTGTCTTGCTTCCTGCATCTCTAAGATATAAATGATCTACCAAACCGGATACTCAAGCCTGAAGTAGACCATCGGGTATCTTGGCATCCTGCAAAGTCAGCATCGGAGAAAGCCTCAATAGATGGAGTTCCATCTCTAGGAAAACACAATCTGACCTTTGCAGTATGCTTTAGATAGCGAAGTAATATGTGAACCACATCAAGATGAGTTGCTTAGCAACATCCATAAACTGACTATCAACCTGTACTGCATAGGCAATATTAGGACGAGTGTGAGTTAGATAGATTAAGCTTCCCACCACACTACGATAGAAAGTCTGATCCTCTAGCAGCTCACCATCATCCCTTTTCATCTTCAAGTTCTGCTCCATGGGAGTATTACACGATCGACTTGTATCATAATTTGTAGCAGCCAACAACTCATGAATATACTTCTTCTAGCTGACAAATAATCATGCCTTAGTTTGTGTCACCTCTAATCCTAGAAAATAAGAGACATCACCCAATTCCTTCATATTAAATGTCGAGTGAAGCGACGCAGTCAACTCATGGATCCCATCACCATCACTACCAGTTACAATCATATCATCAACATAGAGAAGTAGGATTGTATGTCGTATGAACATAGAAGGATCATTTTGACTCTGCAAAAAACCAGCCTGAATGATAGTGCCATGAAATTTTTCAAACCAAGCTCTCGAAGCCTGTTTCAAGCCATATAATGAGCGTCGAAGTTTGCAGACCACATCCGCCCAACCTTTAGAGTATCCCTCTGGACACTCCATATAAATAGTTTCTTTTAAGTCAACGTGCAGGAACGCATTTTTCACATCAAAGTGAATAGTGGGCCACTGCTTCATAGTAGCAACAGCAAACAAGCTCTGAAGCAACAGCAAACAAGCTCCGAACTGTTTGCATTTTAGCAATGGGGGCAAATGTCTCTTCGAAATCAATCTCATATTCCTGTTTGAAGCCTTGTGCCACCACTCTGGCCTTAAAACGCTCAATGGAACCATCTGGGTGCATCGTAATAGTATAAACCCATCGACTACCAATAACATAAATATCCGAAGGACGTGGAACAACGTCCCATGTATGCTGAGCTTCCAGTGCATCAATCTCAATATCCATAGCAGCATTCCTTCATGGATCATCTTTAGCATACCGATAATGAGTGGGAATTCATATACCATGCTTAGTGGACTACCCCACATAGTCTTGAAGATGTCGTGGGGGTTGTCCAATATTTGCCCGATTGGAGCGTCGTGGGACATGCAAGGTAGGCGGAGTGACCATTTCGTGTATGCCCTCAGATGAAGCAGGCGAAGATGAGGGAGAGAAGTTACCACTTGGAGACGCTCCGGCTTAGCAGTAAATCGTGGATTTGGGATGGAGCATGAAGGACTTGTGGCTTGATTTTTTTCTTTTTAAGAGTGTGAACTTTTTGGGGGAGAACAGGAATTGGGTGAGACCTCCCTGATGTTCAGTGGGGGAGAGGTGAAGAGGCGATGGCGGATGTGGCCATCTATGTTGTCATTGTTGCGAGACACAAAAAGGAAATAGAGTAATAGATTGAGAGAAGATAATTAAGAGAGATGACTGGAAGTGGGGTTAGGAAGAAGGTATGAACTAGATGAAGATTCAAGAAAGGTGAGAGAGAATCCATCGCATAAGTTGCAACCATAGACCCGGCAGTCTGGATCTAGCACCGACAATCTCATCTGCCCTCCTTCAATCTATTCTACTTGCCCATCGAAGCAGAGCCTCTGATGCCCCCAACCTGTTGGCCCTAATGGTGTGACCCTCTACTTTCCAATTTCAATCAATTGTACCTGCAACCTAACAATTTTCAATATGTATTTTCTAGGTTTTCTTTTGTTCTACAGAGGATTTGGTAGGGAATGAGAACAGAAAAATTTTGATCCCAAAAAGCATCCAACCGACTTCAAGTTTTGTTTTCGATAAAACATGCAGTACAAAGGAAGTAATGAGCCAAAGACTAATGACTAAGCCCACAAATTTAGCAAACCCATTTTCATAGAAAGATAATTCTTATGAAGATGAAATAGCCAACTAAAACTCTCACTTACACCCTACTACTTATTCTAAACCCTAAGTTTTGATTTGAAACATAAAGCAAATTTCCGTTTCCTATTGGGTTCTTACTCGTTAGATTTTACTAAAGTGACTAAATTCATTAATTTAAATTAATTCAATAGCATGTCTCATCGTGCTCTTAGTATTGAGTTCTTCAAGAATAAGGGTTTTCACATTCCCGCTCCCCCACCACGAACTAATTGTCTAACTACCACCAACATAATCACCATAACTACTCTCGTAAGAGTTTGTATTATGGGGAGGCAAAAACACCAAAATTTCATCAGAGGCAGCCGAGCTGTTACAAGATCAAAAAAGGTCGAAGGGGAGAGTGAACAGAAAGGAAACTGGTACAACAAGAGTGAACGCAAGGAGCTAAGCATTAACATGTTTATGCTGCACCACCTGATGGGGGAAACTTACTCCCATTAAGCCCTCCCTAATCAAGTGTCAAGTTCAGATGGGGGCACATAAGCTCATATGTACCAAATGGATAGACGAGACTATGCTTCGAGAGCAAGTCCATGACTCTATTCCCTTACCGATACATATGAAGCAAATGAACCACCCATCTATGATATAAACATCTGCAGATAACTCCTAAGAGAGTAGCGTGTGGATGAACCAGGTTTGTGCGCTTCCTTATGAGGTCCAAAGAGAGTTGAGAATCAGATTCTAGCACTAGGAATTCCGCTCTTTTTCTTCTTGCAAGATGGAGGCCTTGCAGAATACCCCATAACTCGGCTTCAATAGCCGAAACGTTACCAATCTTGTTGCAGAATCCCCCAACCCAATATCTCTGGTTGTTTTGGAGAACCCCACTAGCCATTACAACTCCATGATTTCCCTGGGCAGCGCCATTGGTATTTAGCTTCCAACATCCCACCATGGGAGTTGCCCATCTGATGAGCCTCTTAGTGCGAGCAGGCTTTCTTGTGAAGCCTTCTTTCATGCAGGTTGTCTTCCAAACTTTGCACCATTCTAGAGCTTTGGTGATGATGTAGTTTTGAAGCGAAGAGGTAGATAGCTTCTTACCTTTGAAGATGATATCATTTTTTCACTTCCAAGTGTACCAAAGAATAAGACTGAAGGAGCTCAACCACTTTCATGAACAACGATCCTAGGAATCATCTTTCAAGTTGCTGAGTAACCAATCATCATAATTCGAGTTGAAGAACTATTGTTGTCAGACAAGACTGGCAACTCTTTGCCACACTAACTTCGCTCCCCCATATTTCCTTAGACAATGAAGGTTATTTTTTGGGACATCTTGACATTTTGTGCACTTGTCGTTCGGAATGTGATGCCGAAACTTCCTTACATTATTCCCAATAGCCGGCCACCATCTTGCTCTTTTTGTTTTTCTGTTACCTCCTCGGTTGCAAGTTCAACAAAAGGGACCTGCACAATCTCTTGACTTAGCCTCAAAAACTGTTTCTGGGCATTCGATGGAGATAAGGAGAGCTATCTTGGGTATAGAGAGAGGTAAAGAAGTTAACAATTAGCTCTTGCAATTTCTGTTAGGAGAGATGAGCTAGTTATATGTCTTGGTCATAGGTTGGGCTTCGAACTTCGAGATTGCTCGATCAATGATTATTACAATAAAAAATTACTATTTAAGCATTATTATCTTAATAATTATTTTATTAAATTATATTTATGATTATTATATATAATATGTTTATTTTATTATTTTATTAGATTCTATTATAAATTTAATACATCTATTTTATAATAATAACAAATTTTCTTACTTCATCCTATATTTACACTTCTTACTTTTTTATCCAAACAACAATTTATCTCTTATTCAATTTGCTCCTTAACTAACACATGAATCTGTTGCCAAACATACTATCAATGGGTATATGTCGGTGATGACCCTCTGTCAAAAGAATAAATTGATGTGATTTAATTGGCCACCTCACAGTCACAGATACCTCCGCAGGCACATGCCCCCCATCCCATTCTCGTTTTTCATCCCATCCGTCCATCCCATCGTCATCAACGGTGCTGTCATGCATTAACTCTCCAATCTCCAATGACTCCCCCAAGTCACACCTCCTAATCACTGTACACCTGCCCGCACCCTAGCACTCCTCCTTTTAAATCCCCCTTCTTTCACTCTCCCTCCCTCTCTAGTCTCTACGGGGGAAGGAAGGAGTTGAGCTCTTCGCCAGATTTATTCCGCCCACCAGATCTTGACATATTTCCAATTTCTCCCGTACCGGATTCCCCGCAAATCGCCATCTCCGATGACCTCATCAGCTCAGATTCCGCTCTCCAGCCACGACTCCGACGGCGCCGCCACCCAGGCTTCCGTGGTCGCCGCCGTCCGCTCGTTCGTCACCCGGCTCTACGGCGCAATCGGCAATTCGCTCTCCCGCCGCCGCCCATGGACGGAGCTCATCGACCGCTCCGCCTTCTCCAAGCCGGGCTCGCTCTCCGACGCCACCACCAGGATAAGGAAGAACTACTCCTACTTCCGCGTCAACTACATGACTCTGCTCGCCATCGTCCTGGCGGTTTCCCTAATCTCCCACCCGTTCTCCCTCATCACTCTCCTCTCCCTCCTCTCCGCCTGGCTCTTCCTCTACACGTTCCGCCCCTCCGACCAGCCCCTGGTGGTAATGGGGCGGACCTTCTCGGATCGGGAGACGCTCGGGATCTTGATTCTGGTGACGGTGATCGTCATCTTCCTGACCAGCGTGGGGTCGCTGCTGATCTCGGCGACCATGGTCGGGGTGGCGATTGTGTGCGTCCACGGCGCGTTTAGGGATCCGGAGGATTTGTTCATGGACGAGCAGGAGGGAGGTGGTGCCGGGCTGTTCTCGCTCATCGGAGGGTCGGCCGCAGCGGCCGCCGGGAACAGCATGATGTCGCGCGTGTGAGGTTGATTGGTCACTGATGTTGATTTCTTCACTCTGTTGTTATACTCTGGGGTTAGGGTTTTAGTAGTGAAATTTTCGAAACGGATCTGCAGCGGTATTACCACTGGAATTGCAGTTTTCGAAATTGAGATTGCTAATTATTTCATAATGTGTCAATTGTAAAATTTCATTTCCGATCACATTTGTTGAGGTTTTACTAATCCTCTTCACTCGATGTATTTCTGTAACTATGTTTCATCGCTACTAATTGCCAAAATGGTAAGCTACAATGTGTTAATCTCATCACTCATCACATTATGTAGGCTGACAAAAATCGATATATAGTATTGGAACGTGTAGGTTGACACCCTTGACGCTGATGGTACTACTACCGATCGTGGCGTAGGCAGATGCCATGCCGGAACTGATGCAGAAAATTGTCAAACGTATGCTGGTGTTCATGAATCTACCAGGATACAATGGCAGCATAGTCCGATGTCGAACTAATCACCAGAAGAACGATCCAGCAGCAGTGTAGGCAGCTGCCCGATGAATTTACAGTCCATCGACACCAGGCTACGCTCAATCAAGCTAACCAGACTGCAATCAAACAAGACTTTTCCCAGGCGTACAGGCCGTTGTTATCAGCCTAGCCACCATCAAGCTATTTAGACTGCAACCATACAGGACTCAAACGACACCATCAACACAGGTAATAACATTAACAAGACTCAAAGCTTGCAAATGGAACTTAGAATAAATATATGTTACAAAAGTGCTTCTTCTTACCCCTTGGCTTTTCTATTTTCTTTGTTTAATTGTTCTGTGTTTCGACAAATTGTAAATACATGAGTTCCTTCCTACTTTGCGTAAAAAGATCAAACTGAGAAAGCTAAAAAAGGAAAGGAAGACAAAAGGGAAAGAAGAGAAGCAAAGAAGAGAGCACAAGAACTCGGAATGTACAGCTAGCTCCTCATAAATACCGAGTTAAATACATTCTAAGCGCTGTCCGTTGCATATCCACTGGTCTCCTCCGCAACCTTTGCCCACACGTTAGCAATTTTCTCGGCGTAGCCAACCTGTGTACAAATGAACCACATGGCCACCCAAAATGAAACGACACTACAGATCCCACTCAACAACTGTTGCAATAACAACCTGGGAAGCTTAGATCACGAGAAAGAAGCAAGGACCAAATGAACTATTACAGGAGGGTACCTGGTTAAGCACAAATCCTTTCAACATGTTGGAGAAGTCGGCATGTTTTTCCGCTTCCATCCTTTCCAGTTCGGTCCTGTTATTTTCCTGCGATGATGATGTCAAGAACTCAGCTGCTTTGAAGAATCACAACACATGGCTGAATGTACTAACTTGTCAAAACTGGGAAACCAACGCAAGTCAAGGGCATGAGACATGCGGAACATAAAATGCTCAGGAAAGAGCAAACACATGGTACAAACTGCAGTATACTATCATGGGCAACTGATGAAGTTGAGCCATGCCACAGCAGAATCAAGATACGTCCTGTCATATTTTACAGACACAAGACACTCGAACCAAATGTTCAACTGTGGTGGATAGCCAGTAACAAATGCTGCAAAGGAAGCGAATGAGAGTCTGGGAACCAGACATCCCAGCATCAAAGCTTGAGAGAATATCCATGTCCATCTCCCATTGATAATGCATAGTGCATTAATCATATTTCAATTTTCGCAAAACTAAATTTCACCAAACTATTATGGAAACTAAGCAAATTGAATCATAATTCATGAGTTTTGAGCAGAACAATTCTGAGCTAAATCTAGAACCATCAAGTCCAAGGATAAGGATAGCACTAACCAATAACACTTGGTGCCCATAGATCTAAAGAGCAAAGGTTATCAGTAACGACAGGGGAGAGTTTTTTGGGCACCTTATCTGTCTCAATTACTTCCTTCCAACCAAACAATAGACTTGTCTAGGTTGCAACATGGTAATGCAAAATTTCCGTACTCTAAAGCGGATGAAAACGTATTCAGCACTACTATGGAAAGTAGCCAAATAAAGCAGCTTCACTTGATAATGTTAGAAAATGGAGAAAAGAAACAAATATCTACAACCGAAGAAACTTGTACCCAACTTTTCACTTCATCAGGAAAGGAGTTAAAGATACAAAGACCTGCCAATTCACCTGCCAAATTGAGTGTCTTTACACTAGAAATTCATATGGAATATCAATTCACACTGGCAGTCCATACGCATGGAAATAAGCAAGATCAATCTGGATTACCAGAGACATCGCCATCATCTTAAGACATTTGTCTAACAAATGCATGGTTAAACATGGTATTTGAATTGGGTGAAAACAACCAGATTCCTAGGTTTCAACCTTCAGAACTTTCACCAACTAAGAAAAACATGGTACTCCCACTTAAATAAGAAAGGTGGTAAATGTGGCCAGTGGAGCATAGCTTTCAACCCTGATTTAAGGTGCGGGTAAAGAAAACTCCAAATGAGCAGATGAAGTGACAAAACAGAATTAAGCTTTGAAAATTGAAAACCCCATCAGACAGAAGGGTGCGTGAATGCAATAGGCTTGCACACTAATGCAGCAACATCAAAGGTAATAGATGACTGGATATTTCCCAAGAGTTGGATCAAGTATCTGGTCTACCTTCCAATAGACTCCGTTAAACACAAAATCCACAAGAAACAAAACATGAAAGCCACAAGAGCGAGCTTATGAAAACAGAATGCAAGAACGACAGAAGAAAAAAAAGCATGATTGCTATTCTCAAATAAGTCTGAATCCTAGAGCTAACAGCTGATACGTCGAGGTTAAAATGTCAACTTGACAACTATAAGCACGAGAAGACATAAGACAGACATAGGTGCTAAGTTCACCGAAGGGACTTTACCAACAAGCCCAAGTACAAGTGTAAGACAGTTAAAGGGAAAATGGAACAAGACTACCAGCGATCGACAATTGAGAAGATAGGTAATTCGGCTACTGGAATCTCCTATTATCGGAAACATAAAACACTAATCAACAAGTTCCACGGGAAAAAAAAAAACAAAAAAGGCAATTAATGAGGAAAGAGTATGAATTAGGTTAACTGAGCCAAACAACAATGGACAAGCTAAGATTAAACAGCCTCTGCTGCAGAACATCAATGGTTATGGCAACAGGAAATCTGGAATGCAAATGAAATGGCTCTCCCATCTAGTGAAAACCATAAACAAAGGCCCTGACAGAGAAAAACATCGTAAAAGGAAATTGATAGGTTAAGCAAAGAATATATGTGATTCGACTAGGTTTTATTAGGCACAGAGAATGTAGGAAAGACAGGATTCTGTTTGAGATGCTTGCTGGAGATAGCAGAAATATATTGGAAGATACCATTTTCGAGCGGGTGCATCTCCAGTCACAGGTAGATTTTCAATTGAGAATTCACTTGCCAATGCTTTTAAGAATCACTCAAAGAAAACAAGTCAAACACTTGAATAAATCCGCAGTTATATTTCTTGTTTTTTGTCTAAATCTATCAAAACCTCCTTATATAGGAATTACAAACTTGACACCAAGAAATCTATTTCCTTGTCAATACTAACTAAACACTAATCTTCGTAAATGATTTTTGGTTACAAGATACCATAAAAACCTTATATAAGGAACAATAATAATAACAAATAGATTTACAGCAAGATCCATGCACAACAACGTGACTCGTATCGGACCAATGAATTCTAGATACACTGCAGATATCCTGATAATTATACACGTTCCAGGACACAACAACAACAACAACAACAAAAAAGATGAAAATCTAACCCAGACAAGACATTCAAACATAATTTATTATAAAATTCTCACAGTACCTTAATCCGCTCGTACTCTCTAACTGCAACACTTTTAGCATCTTCAGTGGCTCTTATAGTTTCTTTCAACTCTTCTATCCTTCGAATCCTTGATTTGTCACCACCAAATATCTTTGATGACGCAGCTTCAAGTTTCTCAGCCCTTGTATGAAGAGACGACAATTCTGATAGAAGAGTTTGCACAGTCAGCAAAGCACTAGAGCGATCGGCAAATGCACCATGAACTGATAGCATCAACCCAAGATACTCGTGGAGGGTATCCTGCCAATTGAAAGTCCATAAGCAAAATCAGGAAGTGTCCTTCAAACATAGAATATTCACTTCCACAGCACAAAAGCTAGTATGGCTTTGCATAGAATGTGGGCATAGTGAAGGCCAGTCTAATAAATGAGCATCTCCACCAATGTCACCTTATCATCTCTACGTTATCCAGATAGTAAATCAAATGCACTATTAAGATATCAAGCAGAACGAAGAGCCCAGATTCAGTAATTTACCAAATGCTTAACCGTCTGAGCATTCAGTTCCCTGTAGAATCTGCTAGCTTTGACAGCAGCTGTAGCTACGTTCTTCATGTCACCTGCCCTTACTCTTTGTGATTCAAACATAGCTTCCTCAGTCTCAAACTTTGTCAATTTAATGAATGCTAACCCTAATTCTCCCATCGTCTCCCCCATGTCTTGCTGTGCTTTCACCAACGACTCCGCCTGCAAAACAAATTCCCCACAAACAACAAATTCACCAACAATGAAACAACTGTTCAAAAGCAGGAAATATGGAGAGAACAAATACTTGATGCATATCAAACAATGACTTCTACTTAACCTGCTGAGAAGCATTGCTCAGTTGCAGCTCAAACTCGTTCATCTTCTCCTTCTTCTCTAGGAACTCCTTATCTTCCTCCACTACAGGTGGTCTTGAACCACCCCAATCATTAGAAACAGACTGTTTCAATTCTTTGAACAGCCTCAACAAGTCTCTCCCTCCTTTGGCTGGCTGGACTACATCCTGTGGGGCTACCGTCGATCCTTCTCCAAATAACTGCTTCGGTAGATTCACTGCACCATCAAGCATCCTGGAAGCCACATCAGTGCTTGTAGCCAACGGCAACTTCCCTTGCACCTGCAAGAACACCTTCAACTCATCGCTGTTCCATAAGATGGGATGCGCAGCGAGCCTTCTCAAATACTTCTCCAAAGCAACTCTCCTCTGTTCTACAAATTCCTGCTTCTGCATCACCTGGCTCTCCACTACACTCTTGTCTGGTCTAGGCGGGATGAAGAACCCTCGATAAGCCTCTGCCAGCCGATCCGATAAAGTGACCACGTCCTTGAATCGCCGCCGCACCCCGAATTCCGATCCATTGAACTCCGGGATGTTGGTTCTCGTCGTGATTAGATACGTGACGTAGGTGCTAGCTCCGGGGACAAGTGAATTCGAAGTTTCCTGCTCCTTCTGTGGATTGGAGACGGTGATCTTGATGTAATCGGAGCTGGAGGACGGGGATCTCGAGAGAGAAAGTGAGGAATCGGAAGATCGACCGGGGCTATCGATGCCATTGATTTCGCTGCCAGTATTCTCGTCAAACGGACTGAAGATGACATCGGCATAGGCAGGCGGTTCAATGTAGGAATTGTTATCGTGCGAGAGGCTAGGGTTTCGGAGATCCCGGTATGGTTGAGGAGCAAGTAAAGGATCCGAATCTGCCGGCGTCAATAGCGGGGAGAGAGGGTGATGCGTATCGGCGAGGGACGACATGACGCTGCGATAATCGGAGAAAGATTTGCTGCCTCCGTTGCCGTTGGGATTGTCGGAAGGTTCATCGAGGACAAGGTTTTCCATCTCCTCTCTAGAGGCGAAAAGTTGAGATTCTGCTTCATTCTCTGATCCCATCATTTTCGCTACGCCTTAACCCCAAGCACTAATTCGCCAAATCCTCCACGCTTATTCAAGGCTCTGAAACCTCCGCCTGCCGGTGAAACTGATCGAAGCCAAGGAAAGTTGAAAGCAGCGGAAAAGTACAGGCGAGGAACGGCGGCGTCGGAAGTCCTGGAGGCGGCTGACGTCAGGTGAACAAGAGACGATGAAGGCGGAACATGAGTGACGAGGTGAGATCTTTCCAAGCTACTGGATGACTGAAGTCTTCGTTCCTCCGCCGTAACGCCGGGGAGCAGAGGCCCTGTGGCGTTTGTTTATTCTGTTTGGACGTTTGGTTTAGAAGCTACGACCTACGACATGCTTTTCTTTCTTTTCTATTGGTTTTATCCAAATATAATTGATTTTGTTTTATAACTCTTTCACCTGAAAAACACTTGCGATTCATACAAAAAAAAAAAAAAAAAAACACTTGCGATGGGTTTTTTTTTCTGCCCCAAATTTCATGTTCTTCTTACTTGTTTTATCTTAAGTTTTCCTATGAAATTATTTGTTTCTTTTCAGCAGGCATATCTAGGGTTGGAAGGAAAACTTATCAAATTGGGTATCCACCCGAAATCGAATCGAAATAATAACACTTTATTTATAGTGTTTGTCACTCCATATTTTATACATTTTTATCTTCTATCAATGTATCTTTAGTAGTTTCATTATATTTCATATGAAATTCATCAATATTTAAATAATTAGCTTATCATAGACCTTGTGCGTGTTTTTTGTACATTTTACACATTTTTGTGTTGTTTTGTGTTTCTCAAGAATATAACACATACAAGACGATTCTAGATTACAAATGGACTCAGTTGATCAGAAGGAGGATGATTTTACAAGCTCATGGGCTTAAAAGGAGATGGATTTGGACATTGGATTCTTACTATATAGCAAAAACAAGAAGATCTAGTAGGTGCAAGATGCCAATCTTTGACTTAGGCTCATGAGAGATTTTCTTATTAACTGCCTCTACAAATTGGAGGTGTTACTTGACCACAAGCAATCCATTGCACCAAAAAAAAAAAAGCAGCGGCCCAACATGGGTTCAACCCGCCGCCCGTGCCCTAGCTCTTCAAAAGCTTCTAAAACCAACCTACTTCATTCACAAGTCAAAGGAATCCGAATTCAAGTCGTACAAGGAAGGTTTTGGTCGACTTTAGGAGGAAAAATAATAAAAATCCCTCTTCTGTAACTAGTACAAATAGGAGGCTAGACTAGAATTTTAGAACACACCTTTTACCTGCACTTTGCCCTAGGGTAGGGATGGCAACAAAACCCGAACCCACGGGTACCCACCCGACCCAACCCGGTCAACGCAGGTAAAACCCATGTTGACGGATTTTGGGCCGGGTTCGGGTTTTGTTGTCACCATCGATGCATGTATCATTGGTGATGTCTTCCTATTCTCCTTTGCATAGCTAGCTTGAAACTGTTTAGGGATGTAACTCTTTGATACTTTATGTACTACTTTATATGATTCTATGATATGCCTATTATGTTTAATGTCTTTACCATCGATGCTTGGGTTAATTTATACTTGTATCATCTATTGTTTATTCATTCGATAGTTTAGTTATTGGTTGCTTTAGTTGTTCTATGCATATGACCCCTATTGTATGTGTAACATCCCGTTCCGGCAAAACTCATATTTCGATCGCTATAAAGTTCGCGATTTAAAATCAAGTATTTTGATAGTATTTCGGCGAAAATCGGAATATAGATCGTATAAGTATACGTATTAATTATATATATAATATATAATATATAATTATATATAACATCAAGCGGCCACTTATATAAATCCCCAGACCATTTCCTTTCTCATCATCTTCTTCTGTTCCATTTATTTGGACGAGAGAAAGCCAGAGAAACAGAGCACACACGGAGCGCTCGGCCAAAAATTCCAAAGCTCCAATCTTGAGTCCTAGTGATCCAAAAATCTCGTAAGTAATGCCTAATTCATCTATACATCGTGATTTATCGATTTAGAGCTTTAAAACGAGTTTTTGGTTCAGGAATTTCTTGAATTCCGATAAGCCAAATTAGGGTTTCGGAGTATCCGGAAGCCGGATAGAGCCCAAATTTCATATACGAGCTTCTTGCAGCGAGGTAATCAATCCTCTAGTTCTAATCCTTGAATTTCGGCAATTATTTAGGTCGGGGTCCAAATCGCTGAATTTAGCTCCGACCAGGGTTTGATGTGTTTTTATCAAGAATTTGACTAGCAGCCTAGAACTAATATTAACGAGGATACTGCAGGGGATATTAGGACGGTCTCGAATTTTAATTCGGGGTTCGTTCGTGAAATTGACGTTTTAGTACGGGAAGGTTAAACTGGTGTTTGAACGCCCGGAACTGGTGAGGGATTAGCACGGCATACCGGGTTTGTCGTATCACGATAATTATATTGATGCTTAGAATTGACCTAGGTGAACTAGAATGGCATGATTAGGGGTGTATGAACTTTTGTGCTATATGTTGAACCCTGGACTGCTGTATGATATTATTGACTTGCCCTAATCGATATGGACCTTGTTTATGCTGATGATTGCATACATGTTGCCATTTGTGGCTTAACTGTTGATATGACTTCATGGTTGTTCGATCAGGTGTTTTGACATGATGTGATATTGTGGTTGTATTTGGATTCACAAGTGGGGGGAATAAACTTCCCAAGGGTGATATTATGATGTTTTAAGGAGGATGACTTGCACGAGGTTTAATCCCGAGGAAGTGCAACTATACGACTCCTAGTTTACCTATGTTGAGCCAATTATGGTCAGGTCAAGTACATCTGCAAGTAACGAATTATGATTAAGCAAGATGAGATATGAATCATGTATAAGGATACCAAATATGAGTGTTGTGGTCTCACGGTCAACTACATAGTAATTAGGGCTCCCTATGCTATTACTCTATTATGATATGTATGATAGTCACACCTCTCATGTGGTGGTGACTGAAGAATTCTTATGAGATATGACCACACCCAGAGCGGTGTCGGGTATGACTACACCCATAGTGATGTGGGGTATGTGTGACCACATCCGACCGGATGTTGGGGTATGTATGACTACATCCGACGGGATGTGGGGTATGTTTCCCGGGAGAGTTATTAGCATGGGAATAGCTAGGCGCCTATAAGTAAAACATGATAAGATGCATATGCATAAGTCAAGGTGGTTGAGTCTTTTGCCTATTGGGATGTCGGATGCATGAGGTCTGATCCTAGTGCTTTGGCTTGTTTGCTAGATGTATGGTAGGGGTATGCTCTGTTATGAACTCACGATGCTATGATTATCTCACTCAGCTATGAGCTAACCCTCTTTATCCTTTTTCTCTGCTTATGCCATGTGTAAGCAGATCATTATCATCAGCAGCAGTAGATAGGTGTATAGGTGGGAGTTGAGCAAGAGTTGAAGGCAAGATGAGGTATGGTCTTCAACTATTATGTGCTTGGACTACTACTCGGGATTTTGGCCAGTGATCCACACCTTTTTGTAAAAATGTTTTGAGAACGTTTTTCATGTGCATACTAGCTTCTGATGTAGTGTGAGATATCCACAGGTGTGGAAATTTGATGATATGTGTATATTTTTTGTAATTGTGTAAGTTGTGATGATTATGGATTGTATCAGTATGGTATGCAGTTGTGTAGTATGAAACTCTGACTATGGCTATGAAAGCCCATGTATATGGTTGTGAGTATATATGTTTTTCATTGAATGCATGGATTCAGATAAATTATTTTGCAGGTTTTAGTTACAAGAACTGTTAGCCCATTATGCGAGTAATTCATGTCGAAATTTTATTTTGGTAAATTTTGATAATTAATGTAACACCCGAGATTATTTACGCTGCAATTGTATGAACAATATGAATAGGTAATACGTATAGGGTAGGGTGTTACAGTTTGGTTATATGCTTTGATCGATACTGGTTCCTCTCACTCATTCATGTCATATACGTTTGCACATATGCTACGCTTAGTTCCAGATAAGCTAGGTTATACCTTATGTGTTAAAACACCTGTGGGAGATACCTTAAAGGTAGATTCAGTTATTAGAAGTTCCTTCATTTGTGTGGAAGGAGCTTTCCTAGCCGCAGATTTAATTCTGCTACCATTTGATGAATTCGATGTCATCCTTGGGATGGACTTTTTAGCAACACATGGAGTTGTTGTGGATTGTCAAAAGAAAGAAGTGTTATTCAACACACCAGATAAATGTCCTGTTGTATTCCGAGGCATTAAGAAAAAGAAGACTCATGGTTTTCTTTCTGCCTTGGAAGCTTTTCGATTAGTGAAGGAAGGTTTTGAAGCCTTTCTTGCTCAAGTTACTGTTGTAAATGAGAAGAAGGTTGAGGATGTAGAGGTGGTAAGGGAGTTTCCTGATGTATTACCCGAAGAACTTCCCGGCCTTCCACCAGAAAGGGAAGTAGAGTTTGATATTGAATTGGTACCTAGCACAACACCAATTTCAATGGCACCGTATAGAATGGCACCAATTGAGCTAAAGGAGCTTAAAGAACAATTGCAAGAATTGCTAGACAAGGGGTTTATTCGACCTGGCATCTCATCTTGGGGGGCACCGGTTTTGTTTGTCAAGAAGAAAGATGGCTCCATGAGAATGTGCATTGACTACCGGAGGTTGAATAAAGCAACAGTGAAGAATCGTTATCCCCTCCCAAGAATAGATGACTTGTTTGATCAATTGCAGGGTGCATCAGTCTTTTCTAAGATTGATTTGAGGTCTGGATACCATCAATTGAAAGTGGCAGATGAAGCAACCTCAAAGACAGCTTTTAGAACAAGATATGGGCATTATGAGTTCCTGGTAATGCCTTTTGGACTCACTAATGCACCAGCAGTATTTATGGCTCTTATGAATAGAGTTTTTCATGAATATCTTGATAAGTTTGTGGTTGTGTTCATAGACGATATTCTCATCTATTCTAAAAGCGAGGAGGAGCACAAAACTCACCTTAGAATTGTGTTGCAAATTCTAAGGGAGAAACGATTATATGCAAAATTTTCAAAATGTGAGTTTTGGCTGAAGGAGGTAATATTTATGGGACATGTAATTTCTGGAAGAGGTGTCGAGGTGGATCTGAAAAAGGTGGAAGCAGTGGTGAGTTGGGCTCCACCAAAAGATGTGTCGGAGTTGAGAAGTTTTCTTGGCATGGCTGATTATTATCGGCGGTTTGTCGAAGGGTTTTCCAAAATTGTTACACCATTGACTAAACTGTTGAGGAAGAATACCAAGTATGTTTGGGATGAATCATGTCAAAAGAGTTTTGATGAACTGAAAAAGAGATTGACCACAGCACCA